CGTGTTAATTCCGTCTTGTCCAGCGTTTCCCTCTCCAGAGGACGTAGTCTTTTCCTTGGTTTTCCCAGTGTGACAAGCACACCAGAATTCCACACTGCTTCGTGCCTGATGGGCTAGGCCTTTCTGGGGGTGCGTTAATACTGAGAGGCTGGGCAGGCGCATAAATACACGTGGGGAGGGAAGGGGGGCCCTTCCCAGGTGACCTGGGCTTGTGCCTTCACTGTGTCAGCCTGAGGTCCTGGTTAGGGGCAGATCACACACGTGTGGCCCCGAGTTCTGAGTGCGGGGAGAGGCCACATCCTAGCAGCTGCAGGCCCCTCCCACTCCCCATGTTGCTCAGAGATGCCTGTCTGTGCCCCCAGCAGCCCCCCAAGCATGCAGCTCTGGTTACCCCGCCTAGTCAGCTGAGGGCAGCCGGAAGCCATCCCTTTGTGGGTCCTTCTGCATCCCTGGATGTGTGGCAGACCTGCTGAGGGTGGTCAGGTGTGAGCCGGGAGCTGGAGGGGGTGGGGAGGGGCCCGGGCTGCTCAGGGGTCCCGTGGAATGTATCCCAGGAGTCGCGGCCCCCGGCCTTGACTTGGCCTCTGGCGCCTCTGTCTGGGCACGTCCCGCTTTGGCCAGAAGGACTTCTTTCTTGCTGATAGGGGCAGGTCGGTTTTAGGGGGCGGACATTTGGTTTCTCTGTGGATTTCTGGGTTCCACATCTACTCGGGACTTTTCCCCGCCTGCCACCCTTGAACTTGAGATAGTTGTGAGGCCCCGCTGTGGACACGTGGGCAAGCCCCTGGCACCCGCGTCCCATGTCCTCACATCCTCATCGTGATTCCACCGTGGAGGGTCACTCCCCTTTTACACAGATGGACACCCTGAAATGGTGCTGCGTGGCTAGCGTGTGCAGCAGGAGGGGTGAATAGGTTGACACAGGGCTTGCACGTGGATCTTCAGGTCACCACGGCTCCCTTGAGCTGGGGCTCAAGTTCCGCGTCTGTGGGTCCCTCTTGCAGCAGCCCATGGGCAAGTGGCTCCTTCTGCCCGGAGGCACTGGTGGGCAGCAGGTTGCCCCGTGGTAGCTGTGGGCCCTGCAGCTGTGGGCGGACCAGCATTTCCTGGAAGGCAATACATCATCACTTCAGCAGGGCTCAGTCTTACATTCGATAACAACAGGCGCCCTCTTGAGAGGGCCAGCCAGCAGCGTCCGAGCCAAGAGAACATTGATGAGAGAGAAGGCCGGGGTTTCTGGATGCTTCTTCCCCCGGTCCTTTGTTCATTTTCTGAGCACAGCCATGCCCGCAGGACTGTCACCAAGGGGAGGGCGAGGCCCCCCGGGGGGGGGGAGCGTGTAGGTCCCTCAGAGATGTGGTGAGGAGTATTGGACTCTTAGGCCAAACAGGAACCATTTATCTCGTGATGTGAGCAGAGATTGGTTTGGTTCTTAGCAGACGCTGATGATGACAAGCTTGTCCTGTGTCCTGGAGCCGCGTGCCAAGCCTGCTGAGGACTGGATTTACTGAGTACTGGCTGTGCACAGGCCGAGCGCCGAGCTCCCCGGGCATTACCACTGTGAAAGGACCTGATCACCTGTGAGGCAGATGCTGCCTTCTCTGTCTCAGACAAGACAGAGTCCCAGGGCGTTGGTCACCTTGACCTGTGGAGCCTGGGCTGCTTCTCTGCAGTGTCCTGTTAACTCCGTGCTCTCTCCTTTGTCCTCTCCCACTAGCCCCTCTATTGCAGTAAATCTGTGGGGGCCAAGGGATGATTCTGCAGACTACTTTCTGGTTCTCTGTTTAAGTAGTAAGCGTGCATGGGGCCCCCTGGATCTGAGATGAGCCCGGCGTGAAGGAGGGCAGGTTCCAGATAAGGCCACTGCTCTCCTCAAGCCTGGGCCTCTTGCTTCTGTCCAGTTACCACATGAGGATCTCTCTCCGGCTAATAAATGTCCAAGCCAGGCCTCACTTTTGCTCACTGGCCATCCGGGAGGGGAGGAAGCAGTGGGTGAAGGGGCCCCCACTTGCCCTAGCAGGACAGAGGGCGGGCGTCTTAAAGCCTAGATGACCCATATACGAGTCAGGCAGAGCAGAGAATCCAAGTGGGGCTCAGGCAGGCCCCGAATGGTAACAGGAGCTGACACATCAAAGCGTTAGAGACGTTAGGAATAAGTTCATGCAGAATAAGTGCAAGTAGGTGGGCACTTGGTGCTGCCTGTCGCAGGCCGAGGGGGGATGCCGGGGCGCCCACGCTGAGCCTGTGGCCCCTCTTCTCTCTCTGGAGTTTGGATGATGAAGGGCACAGGGCAGAGCGCAGGAGCCGTTCTGAAAGAGGGTGAAATTCAAGTGGGGGCCAGACTGGTCCTCCTGGAATGAGCCGGGGCAGAGTCTCTCAGGACCCCCCCCTTCCAGACCTTTTTAGAGCGCATCTCATTCAGTTTCAGAAAAGTAGACTTATTACCTATAGACCTACAAGGTACTTTTCATATGCCCGACTCGGTGTAAGAAGAAACTAAAAATCCAGGTGGTAGGGACCCTTCTAGGCGATGTGTCGTGAATTTATAAGTTTCCTATATGAAAGCCCCAGCCCTGGCTTGGACTCCACCAGGCTCTGGGTACTGCTGTTCCGTGTGTGTGTGTGTGTCTGTGTGTGTGTGTGTGTGTGTGTGCGCGCGCGCGCGCACGCACGCACCCACACACACAGCCCCTCATCGTCATCAACTATGGGTGGAACACATTTGCCAAGTGACGTTTAGTAGATTCACTGAGGTTGATCATACGGGCCAAAAATAGATGCCCTTTTCCTCGGCCAGAAGCAGCGAGTGAACTTGGAGCTGCCTGGCATTTACTGGCCGAGGCCGAGTCACTTGGTGGAAGAGCCCGCTTAGCTTCCTGGGGCTGCTCGTGGAGGAGCGGTGGTGATTTTAATTAGCTAAGTCGTTTCTGTGTCTTGTATACTCCTAGAAGTTCTTGGAGGAATCCTGCCAAGAACATTTCCCCTGGCACATCTGCGGGGCACTACTCCCTGTTGCACTGTCATCAAGTATCTATGGAAACAAGTGTTTTTGAATTTTTAGCCTTTTTAGCCTTTCTGTAGCTGCATTCTTTTTAAGTACTTCTTTCCACCTTCGCGTAACAATGGGCACTTGCTTTAAAGATTCTGACAGTCTTCCAAGCTTTTTAACATTCTTAATCCACTAAATAAGCCGTCACCGTTCGCTCGGGCAGTCTGCAGGCTCTTCTGAATTTTTGGCTTAAAATTCCGTGAAACGTCACCGTCCGAGTTGTCTGTTCCTTGTTTAATTACTTTGACTATGAAGTATCTCAAGGAAAGAACCTGTGCCCACCAATAAGATTAGGTAGGTGTTAACATGTTGCCGTTGTCTTCAGACCTTAGCTGAAAACAATGTTACAGACAGGTGTATATATATATATGCAGTTAGTTAAATATTTGATTTCCTACTGTATCCCAGACGTGGAAGACTTTGGAGATGAATAATGCGTGATCAAGGCATTTAAACGTTTAGAGACTTGGCGATGGGTAGAGTATGTCACAGCCTGGCAGTCAGGAGTGAAGGTGTCACAGATGTCTAGGGTATGGGTTTTGAAGGGTGGACGAGAGTTTGCTAGGCAAGCTCTCGCTGCCTCCAAAGGCTGGTTCCTTGGCAATAATAGATGCTTAGTCAACATGAGACTACTGTGTCATTAGAGGCTTGGAACTACTGAGAGCCCACGCCCGTCCCTCCTTCCTAGCATTTCAGAGGCTGGGATGTCTCTGTTCTCCGCACCCATCTCCCTTGAATTGGAAAGTTTGGGGTGTAAGGTGGTGTGGAGGCACAGTGGGAGTGAATTACTTCTTGACCTTGGGTATTATGGTAACCCTGACCATGGGGACCACCCTGTTCCTGCTGTGAACTCTTGTAATTGCGAAGTAGGAGCTGGCTGGTGTCAGGACTTGGACCCTTCCTTACATTAGAGAGAACACAGGAGTATGGTTTTCTTTTGAATGGTTTGAAAAGTAGAGTGCAGCTGGGAAACTGGTTACGGTAATTTCATACATTAAAAAAAATATTAATCAACTATTTGTATCCTGACTGATCGTAAGGTGAGCTTGGAGATGGTCAGGGATGGCTGCAACAGTTCATCCTCACGGGACTTGAGAAAGGACGACCTTAAAACACAGACGCCCCGGTGCCATAGCAGCTCCAATATTGAAATTGCATCTGTCCTTCGTGGGAAAGGCACAGAAAAGACACCTGGACACGCCTCCTGCCCAGGTGTTTGCCTTTTCTGTCAGCCCCGGGGAGGAGTAACTTCCCCACCTGCCCCCTCTTACTGCTTTGTGTGCACAGGAAGTGGTTCAGATAATGTGGATGGTCCCATATATCTCCTCTTCATTCCATGTATAGTAAAATAAATGCGAGTGCTGTGTAATGCATCACCTCATTTCATATTGCCTTTGCCAAGAAAGTGCAATTTTATCGAACATTAGGATTGAATTCTTAACTGAGTAATCAATTTCAGTAGTAAGTTAAAGTGCCTTCTCTTAATGACAACTGCAACCGTTCATCAGTTACAGTGGATTAACAGTTGTCAGCATTTATGCTAATAGCACTTATAAACCGTGGGCTTCTGAATTCCATATTTCTCAAACAGTTGGTAAGACTTTTTGCTGGAAGATAATATGATTGTTTTGTCCCTTTGCTTGCTACTTGGAGATGCAAAGAAGTTAAATGACATTTTCACGGCGATGACGCAATATCACCTTCTGGTGTTGCACACTTGGCTTCGTGTCGAAATAGATGGAAAGCGTTCCTTGGTCCTGGTGCTCTACCGTCTCATGTGATCTGGTGTACGACCAAAGCAAGACAAGTAGTACTTTTAATGAAACCATTTAATAACCTCTGGTAGCTTAGAATCGAAGGCACTGGAAAAATGCAGTTCAAGGATGGCTAGATGTAAACAAGGAAGAAGTCACTGCTTCAGCTTCACTGATCCAATTCATTTTGCTTTCAGGGTTTCATCGCCTTAAATGGTTTTGAACCGATGAAGCTGGATTCTCTTAAAAAGACGGAGAGCCCATCGTGTGAACTATAGAGTTTGCGGACACATTTATATTGGTGAGTTATTGTAAAATATCTCCAGGTAAAAGTTCAGGTTTTTCAAAATCCCCTTTGGAATGTGTTTGCAGTTGGTTGATGACTGGATCGCTGGCAGCCTCAGGATGTTTCATCGGGACATCTAATAGCGGGATCGTATTGATTGTCTTTCAATTAATTGCATCTGGTATTTTCATTGATCAAAAGCAAAATACATGTAATTAACTCTGAAGCAATATAGTTCAGTGTAAAGTGATTGTTGCTGCTGCCGCTGCTGCTATAGAGATAAGTCAATGGAAATTACACCAGGAAACTCAAGTCAGGATGGAGCCGTGTTAGGACTTCTCGACATATTAATTACAAAGAATAAAAATGAATTGGGGAAACCGTCCACGCCACCCCGAGTGGCTTGGGCAAATGGTAGATGGACGTCTTTAGGGAGACAGCAGCTTGCTGAGGATGGTACATCTTTAATGAGCTAAGATTTTCAGACTTGCCAACCTCTAGGATGTCTTGAACATAGAATGGTTTTTTTTCTGGTGGAATGGATTAGGGATGTGGGATGTGGGCTGAGGAGAGCCTTCAACTGTCTGCTTATTTGGAGTATGGTTGAGAAAATACCAATGAACAGAGTTCAGTCTTCCGTCCATAGCAAGGACTTTTGGGGGTCCTGAGTTAATTTCAACATGCCTTTAGCCATTTCCCACAAAACCTAGATCTTAGACTCTCAACATGGCAACTTCTCAGAAATGATTGATTTTTATCCTGTTGAAAAAAATGTTTTCTCCTTGAGCTGACAATGTCATCTTAAAGCCAGAAAAAAGAGTGTGAGCCGTTTCTCACCGTTCTTTCTGTCAACCCCCAGGCTTGTTCCCTGCAGTATTGAGTAGGACAGACCCTCAGGTTTGGAGAAAGGTCAAAGGCCCACAAGAAATTTGTACAACAGGATTCCCTGCCTGAGAATCCTGGGCAGATTCCAGCACACACGGTCTGGAATAAATAATAACACAGAAAGAAATGTTGGCCTTAAAATGCAGCCTTAGGCACGGCTTTAGCCGGTGATCGCCAGGGGGCCCGAACTGACCCTCAGTCTCAACCCAACCAGTGGGTGTGGCCCGGGGAAGGGTCTCACTGCCTTTTCCCATGGACTAGGGTCAGTTGCCAACACGGGGCTGCTGCTCCGGACCTGGGCTCACGGAGCCCACTTCCCAGCAGGTCCCTCTGGGAGGCCTTATTTGTGACATGAGTAGTTGTACTGGAGTGGTCCCCACGAGCCCCCGCCTTGTAGAAACCCGGAAACCTTTCCCAAGAGTGATCTGAGAAGGCTGCCCAGCCAAAGGCCATGGCAGAGCATGAAGTTCACAGAGGTTACTTATCAGAGACACTCCGTAATCTTTGAACAATTCTAAGAATCTTTGTACTGGGGCGATGAGAAACTAGAAATATCAGTGAACCTTCTTTTGGGGGTGGGACATGGGTGTATCTATTAGTCATGATGGCCACTCTCAACCGTATACACTCAACTTTGCCTTTTAAGGCCAACATTTATTTCTTTTCTGGCTCTCACTCATTCTTCTAAAAGAAACCTTTTTTTAAAGACCCTGCGTGCTGGAATCTGCCCGGGGTTCTCAGGCCGGGATGTTGTTGTACACATTCTTTGTGGACCTGGGGTTGGTGGGGTGTTAATTCCAGGATTGGGTAACGGCACTGAAGATGTTTTCAGTGGGTCACAGTGATGGAAATCCGTCAGACCCCCACGGTTGTCCAGTTCCATGTCCAAGCACTGCCAGTGCCCGATCCTCGAGTCCTTCACAGAAAGTCACCCGAGGTTCACCTGAGGGAGCGTCTCGGCTGGGTGCCAAGACTTGAGAGTGATGCTTGGTACGTTTTGTAGACACCACGGGGTTGGAAAACTACTTCTCTAAAGATAAGAATGTGGAAATCCACAGTATAAGGATGAAATGGACTTCTTAAATATCAAGAAACGGTTACATAACAGCATTTTCATTTGACTCAACCTAATAATTGAGCCACTGCGGGATCCTGTTTATCAGTGATCTCTGTCTCAGAGAGAGGAACATTGACATTGCATAAATGCATCCAATATCAGAATGAAATTGCAACACCATTCCTGATAGCAAATTTTTCCCTAGCACCTAGCACGCTCACACAATTGGCCTCGTACAGTGGTTCTCAGCACTTATGTGTTTTGGGCATAATTTGGGGTAACAGTTTTTGATAGCACTCTGGAAGAGCTTGAGAAGCTTGGTGTAATGTTGGCGTTGGCCCTCATTAGAGCATGGCCACCATGCCTGGAGGATGCCTCGTGGTGTCTGTGACCTCACCCACATTGACTGTGACCCCGATGGCCTGGCTGCTCCCCAGCACTGGGCACCCTGCCAGTGGGTTAACCTTCGTCCCTGACCACCCCTGTGTACACTCACAGGGTGTGGTTCTCGCGTGTCCCAGAAGCGTGTGTTAGTTCTTGGCTCTTTTCTCTGTGGCTTGTCACTGTGCCCAGTCCATTGTACCCCACTCGTTGGATGGCTACTCATTCAGCCCCAACTGCAGTCAATACCTAGCAACACAAGAGGGGTATCTTGAATTGCAGCCAGAGCAAGGGACCACATGTTGATTTCAACCTGGTAGCTTACCTGTTGAGATCTCCTAGACAAATCCTTTTTAATGTAGGCAGAAGAGAAGGAAATAGACAAAAGACACAAAATTCATGAAAAGTCGCAGTCTTGGAATGGCAAACCTGTGTGGTGCTGGAACCATTTATGCGTCGTTTTTGTCCTCTTAGTATATTTGTGCGTGCCCTCACTTAGAAGCATTCTATTTCTATTATTCTAGACCTGATAGTCTGGTTGTGGCTTTTTTCTTTTCATAACTTCAAATTAGACATGTCAGCCTCCTCCCCCCGTGCAAAGAGGCTCATTTGGTCATCACTAATGAACGACAACACGCGACATGTAGATCTGTTGCATTTTGTTCTGCTTTTACTGTCCATTCTGTACGTCATCGCTTGTTACAGTGAAACCCCGACGTGCTCCGTGGTTCGCTGACTTCTGGAACCAGACTTAGTTCTCCAGTGGTTCAGATGGGTCATTGTTTTTTCTTGTACCATTTTGTTATTAAGCATTAATATTTGTGGCGGTACCAAGTTACCTTGTAATTTTAACAGAAGCGTCAGGGAAAAATGAGTGCTTTTTGTCAAATGTCTCCAGCTAAGTGGAAATGCAAATCACGGCCCTTAGCTCTTATTCTGTAAAATGATGGTGGCGTAGCGGTGGCTGCGGTTTGTCAAAGATGTGACAGCGTATCCGGCTGCCGGCACCCAGAGAGGCTTGCGCGCTGCTTTATGTTGACAGATTGCAATGATGATGTGGAAGCTTGACCTGCCCCGCAGAGCCCCAGGGGAAGGTGATCTGAGGTTCCCCTGGTGCTGGTGACTCAGAGGGGAGGGCCTCGCAAGGTCTGTTGTGGGGTCCAGGCCGCTCCGATCTGAGTATGGCTTTAGTGGGCCAGTGGGCCCCATTAGGGCCTCTGCCCCGTTTCTGCCAGCACAGCTTTCTTCCCCGCGAAACAGAAGGGAAAGTATTGCTTTACTCCAGAAATAAATGCCCACACCTTGCAGTGAGTCTGACTCTCACTGCTTGAGCACTGGAGGGAGCTGGCTGTGGTCATGCTGGGCCTCGTGTTGTGGCCTCCAGGGTCCCCTGGAGTTCTTGGCCTGCCCTGGCCGTCACCCGTCCACTCTTTCCATGCAGCCTGCACTAGGGACGTGTGATCCTGCTCCGGTTTTTAGACTAGAGGCACAACTGCCAACATCGGAAAACACAAACCAGAGCAACATATGCTGGGCCTTTCATCTCCAGGGGACTCTCTAGATGAGAAACAGCCAGGAGGCCGAGACGGGGGCGGCAGGGAAGATGCTGGTGGAGCTTCGGGCCCTGCTGTCTGCGGAGAGGGGAGGAGGGGTCTCAGCTGGAGCTCTGGGGTCTTGGTTCTTGCTTGTGTTTTATTCATGAGCTGCAGATCCAAGTTCCTGTAGGAGCCCTTCTCTGGGAGGTGTTGATTCAGCCCTTGTCCTTTCCTCCAGGGAATTTCCAGATCCCAGCAAGGCTCCTGGGTAGGACCAGAGAGATCATCCACCTAGTCCCTTTGTTCTGTTTTCAAAGTCTGTCCTTGTCCCGGTCACATGGGGGTCAGGCCCCTGGCCCCTACCTTCTGGTGGGTCACTGCTCTGCTGGTGCTGTCCCCACCTCCCAGCCCTCAGGACTGGTTCTAATCAACCAGCGAGGCCAGGGAGGCCCGGAACTCTGTCATCCATGTGTCCGCAACAAGCCAGCCTGCCTGTACTTCCTGGGGTTCCCGGCCAGGGAGGGTCTCTGCCAAGCTGTGTTCCTGCTGGAAGTCTGTGCCTGGGAGGGATGGCTCCTTGCGGCCACAGGAGAGCAGCGGGGCCACGGCCCTCTCTCCTGGTGGAGCGGGGCTTGGGTCAATACTGAGCATGCCATACAGCGTTGCGCGCGGACACACTAGGTATGTGGCCCTCTCTTCCCAAGATCCTATAACCTTGGCTAAGATCCCTGTTTTATTTATTTTTATTTTTATTTTTATTTTTGCGGTATGCGGGCCTCTCACTGTTGTGGCCTCTCTCCCGTTGCGGAGCACAGGCTCTGGACGCCCCGGCTCAGAGGCCATGGCTCACGGGCCCAGCCGCTCTGCGGCATGTGGAATCTTCCCGGACCAGGGCACGAACCCATGTCCCCTGCATCGGCAGGCGGACTCTCAACCACTGTGCCACCAGGGAAGCCCCAAGATCCCTGTTTTATTAGCGAAGCACTTGACGCTGAGATCATATGCCAGCACACGGCGCCCATGAGTAGACCTGCGGCTTGGACACCGATGGCGTAACCCCAGGCTCAGGGTTCCCTTGGTCCCTGCTGAAACACCGCAGTCCTGTGACTTGCTTTGCCAGTATGCAGGATCCCTCTGTAGTGATGACTTTGTCGTGA